TTGTAAGGTTGTCCATATCTGGTGGCAGTGGAACATTGTGCAGGCGGCATAGTTCACGTAATAAAATGCCAACCTTAAAATTTTATTTATTAAAGATATTTTTTATTTGTAATTATTATATTTATTATAACAGTAATTTCAGTATTTACCTGATTTATTACATGATTATCACGTCCATTTGTATTGCTAAGAATTTGTACGGCGTTTGTTACGCTAGTTTCTTCACTTTCAGCAAACCAGACAGGCGGTGAAGATGGATACGTTTCCTATATTAATAACACAATAAATTCGATTAATAAGATCAGAATACTTTCACTTAATTAGAGTGGATTAAACATATATGAGATATTAGAATTTTCGAAAAGTAAGTTTGTTATTTTTAATAGAGGACTTGAAAGTTTTTTTTTGTACCCATTTTAAAACTGAAAATGCATATAAAATATATAATATAATATAAAACGGTTTACTTACTAGCTAAAAGTTTTTATTTTGCGGAAAAGCTATTGTTTAATGGTTTTTCAAATAGGAATACAAAAAGAGTAGCTTTTTCGGCATTTTTACTTTTTCACTAATAAAAAAAATTATTAATTGTGTATTATTAGTGAATCACCACTCTTGATAAAATTTGTTGAAAGAACGTACTGATCACGCCGAGCAATATCATTGTTTAACTACAAAATAGGCTATATTGTATTAATCGTTTAAGAGATCAATAGATAAGTTGACCTGTTTCACCAAAATAATGTGAAACTCATACAATTTTGATATAACTATAAGAAAACCGGTATTTGTTTTCACTAAAAAAGAACTTATTTACTTTCCAAGCAACCCAAACGAAGTTGATATGAACCGTCGTAAAATAAAGCACTTAATTCAAGAAAGTTATTTTAAATATATTGGTTAAGAAATATGATAACACCGAATTGTACAAAAACCATTTTCTTTGAAACAAAAAAATGAATTAATCTAAACCTTCTTGGTTCGAAGGTGTAATTAAAATAAATGGTATATGGTTTAGCCATTTTTTCAACTCAAATATTTTAACGCTGAACACTAGTTCAACCAGCCGCAATTTCCACTTGTGAAGATGTGACTTCATAAACATTATTTTTGGTGTTTTTCGTATTGCTTGGTCTCTACTCGCAGAACGATTGTCATAAAGTACAATACTTTTAAATCAGGATATTGAAGTACGTGCTTTGCCCGATTATTTCTTGATATCTTGTTAGGATTATCAAATAACTGTAGAATTAATTCAACATTTGTTTCCTTTGTTTTCATATCATTATTTTATGCAATAGTACCAGATTTTTCGACATTATCGCTTCATTAAAAAAGTGAAGCCAAAGAAAACATAAAATAAAAACAAACATAAACGACATTGTAGAGATATCCGCAATTTTAGCCCACTGAAACATGTGGTCCAATTGTACCCATCCAATCGTAAAATTTGCACATCTAGCAATCAGTTGTAAAGACTCTTATTTGAAATTATTTACTTCAGAAGCAATTTTACTGTATTTTTTATTACAGCTTTTATTTAAGAAACATTGAGATTATGTTTACCATTAATATGATGTTTTGATATTTAATTGTACTTAGGGAGCGTGTATTCCACAGTATTCCCACGGATCTCCAATCCACTATCCAACTATGGACGCTGGCTTCTGCATTTCTAACAATTGGACTACAGAGAAAGTCGTCAGTGACTTGAATTTAATAGTCCCTTGGGCATAAGATGATCAAACACGTTTGTATGATTAAATAAGTCTCCGCGGCAACTGTATTCTATGTACAGTAGAACTTCTATATACAAAACTTATCCAGTTAGTTACAACTCTCCATGCGTTTCACCTTGAAGCAATTAGCCTCTTAATTCAAAATATTAACTTTTTATAATTTGTTATAAGTTCTCAATAATCTTTATCTCTACAATTTAAAGTTTTGCAAATCCGACGTCAACAAATCAAGTTTCTGTCTAAAATGTCACGAATTTTATATGTATTCGGAAAATAGCCAATTTCTTTGTAATGCACAAAGCTTCAAATTTTTATTAAAGGTTGAGTTTCACGATGTTGATACAGCTTTTAAAGATTTTGTGGAAGAGACAGTCGTTGTAGCCAAATAATTAGAATATGCAGATATTACTTAAACCGACCATCAAAATATTTTATGTATGCATAACAAGTATCATCAGAAACATTTATATATGAACCCCAAGTATCGATTATTGACCCTATAATAATTGTTTAGGAATATTTCAAACTTAGAATTTCAAAACAATACATATTGATTATCCCTCATATTAAATAATAAAAATATTCCCGTTTATTGAACCTAGTAGAGTTGTTATTTATTTCCTTAGTGAATATAGGTACTGCACTACATATCTAATAAAAATCGAAGATATTTTTACATTCCGAATCTCAACAAGCAATTTTCAGATGTATCTGAATCTATCTATAGATTTATAAATTTGAATGCTTCTTAGTCCAATTTCATTATCAATCCCAAATTTAAATAAGCATTTATGGTTTTTAATTGTTCATTTATCATATGAAAATAAGTATTGAAACTTGATTAGTATTTGATTTTACTTACCGTTATATTTGCGTGAATGTCATATCGTTTTCCATTTCTCCCAATAAACCGACAGGTCAGTTCGTCCACACTCGAGTTAAGAATTTGGAAGCGCTCATGACTTTTAGTAAATATTTTTTCCAGAGTTTTTATTTCTAACTTTAAAGTGTTTAAACATGCCATTTCGTGACAAAATAAAGTGGGTTCTTGTGTGGGCAGTTAGACTCGGTAGCACAATCCAAGGCTATTTTTCATAAATGTTCTGCTTCACGATTTATTTTATTGCGAATTGAAGCCAATATTTTGAGTTCACTAAATTAATTTAGAGACGGTTGGCTCGTTGAGATTCGGTGTTTAGAACACTGAACTCGCCGTCTAAATTTATTTATGTGTCAACTCACTTTTAACTATAAAATCGGAATAACTACTGCACTGAAATGATTAAATCAATCATAAAATTGTTAACATTTGAATGGTTTCATTTGTTATTTCTAAATTAACACAATTTTTTTTTATTTACTACACAAAATGCACGACGCATGAAACAAAACAGATACAAAGTTATAGAGAACCCGATTTGATAAGCAGTTTAAATATTTACAAAATCTCATTCAAAGATTCCTAGCAATTTCTTAATTAACATAACAAATTTCATTTCTCTTACAATTATTTGTACGCATTTTATGCAAAAAAACTTGAGTAAAGGACTTGGGACAAACCAAAATCACTTTCCCCAACAGTACGAAAACTGAAATCAAAACCACAATACTCAAGAATGTGGAATAAGGTAGGAACCAGAAAGGTATTACCATACATATATACACACATCTGCAAAAGTCTTTTTTTTAGTTGAGAAATTTCAATAAATAACTCTAGAACGACAAAAATAATAACGAAATTCTGATATTTTGCAAAAAAATCCGTACAACAATATGAGAAGTGAATGAAAAAAACATCTGTCTTTGTTATATGCTCAAAATTGATCAGCATTTAATGCAAACCTTTTGTTATTGGATTATATTGTACCTGGCAGCTTCGTTCTGCTTCTAGCTTTTGCAACAAAAATCGCTTTCTATCTCTTTTTAATTCACATATTGCACAAATAAAAATTTTATGTAAAAAAGTGACACGAACTGAAATAATTTTGTTACCTATTTATTCAGATTTAACATTTTTCACTATTGAGCATTCTTAAAATTTCATTGATTTAATTATAAGTTTTTTACTAAGCATTTGAAAACTGTATAATATTTCGTAGTCGCGTTAGCAACTTCTAACACTTTCTTTTTAAGTTTGCTTTTAAGCAAATTTATTTAGGAGTAAAACAGGGTTGTGAACTGAAATTTTATAGCACATTCACATAGTGTCATTTAGGCGGTTTTGTTCATTATAGCCACTAATAAGGATGATATACCTTACCATACAAAGTGTGTTCATATAAATAAGCTCATTTATAAAAAATAAATAATATGTGAATAAATAAATTTTCCACAAGGGAAATGATCAATTTTGAAAATATGTGTCATATGTTTTATTTATAAAATGTAAACAAAAAACAGCTGAGCTATGAACAAAGCCACTGAGGAAGGCAGTATTTAATAAAATCTTTGTTTTTATTTGATAAATATATAAAAGATATATATATAATATATGTATATATATAAATATATGTTTTAATATTTCAAATATATATTTATTTTTTTGTGACATATATTGAAGTACAGTTTAATTATTTTAGATGAGTAGCACCGAGAATTCAAAAATCCGATAGCAAAAAGAAATATGTACAAGTATTTAATAAAGTTATATTTCAGTAACTAAATATACAATAAATATTTAAAAAATTTTTCGTGATTTATACTATGTTTAGACTGCCAAATTTCCTTTATTTCGTTTAAATGAAATTAATTTAATTTGAAAAGTGTTCGTACTGTCCAAAGTTAAAGAATCGCATTTTTGTTTACAAATTGAATGTTAAAAATTACATGCTCAAAACATCATTTGTATCAGTGAAATTTTAAAAATTGATTATTATAACTATAAGGGATAGCATTCAGTAGTTTTATTACCTTTGGTAAATTTCAGGTATGTGGATTATTATTCACAAACAAAATCTTTAATGAAACCATATTCATATAATATTGATATGATGAAAATAATTTAATCTTATTCAATCTAATATGGCGTTCACATTAACCGAAAATGACTTATTTCAAATGAGCCATTCAAAAGTGTTTACATTCGTTGTAATTCATTTGTTCTCATTTGAAACAGGTGATTTTTTAACTTGCCTGTTGATTTGATTTTTGGCCTGTGCCAAAAGAATGTTACATGAAGGTTAAATACAATAAACCTTACAATATAAACTGAAAACATATTTTTAACTTCGTTAAATACTTTTTGGGAAGATGAAGTTCTAAAAAGAGGTGCATCGTTTTTAAGGAAGTGCAACCACCAAACATTTGTTCACCTTTTTTTGTAAATATGTCATAAACAGCTTCCTCAAACTGTCAAAATGGCATGAAAAGCTTTTATTTAGGGTATGTTCAATGTATTCATTTGCATTTGGAACATACTTGGAACACATTCGACCTAAGTTGGAACGCATTCATACAGAATGTGATCCAATGGATCTCATTCGCGCTTGAAATTTTGCATGCAAGAATAAGCCATTTCAGGTCAGTGTAAATGCCGTATAATTTAGTAAAGTTAGATGTTTTTTAAAGTAAATATCACTTTTTCGTTGTCTTAACTGAACTTTTGTGTAACAGTAAAAAAGCAACTCTGAGTAATATTGAGCTGAATGCAGCCCCGCGAGGCAGCATGAAAGGTGAATGACAGTTGATACGAAGCAGGGGAGACAGAAAAACGGAATTGACACACAAATGTGAAACCCTCACGTTGTGCGTAAAATAATATAAAATAAATGAATAACGAAGTGATTGTAACGAATATAATAAAATTATTTGCCAATAAAATATTTTCGGTATTTACATAACCGATTACATTTTGCTTAAAATTTATCTTTCGTATAGTTGCATTTGAAATTTCCCTTCATTTTAGGTTTCATTTCAACGAAATTAACCCGAAATAATCCACGTTTACCATATGGTAATGCAAATTAAGAAGTTACATACACATGAATAACATATACATTATACTCAAACATATACATACCCACAGATATGATTAATGCGTTATTTTATCGCAAGTCAAAGTGAAGGGCAAAAAAAAAATTGAAAAAATTGTATTTTCGATATGGTATGTCGGTAAGTGTACCTAATAGTAATCATGGGTCGTTAGGGCATGTGTTTTTGATGAAAAAAACTACGATTTTATTTTATTGCCTTTGTATTTTTTTTGTTTTTATGGAATTTTTTTCATGAACATTACATTATCCAGTTAACATTTTATATATTATTTTATTTTATAATGGTCTATCTTTGCAAAAAACACTTTATTATATTGGTCAGGTAACAGAAGATGACGGTCGCTATATACTCCTGCAAGCTATATGGTGAACTTTGAAATTTATCAAAGAAAGAATCCTCGTTCGAGAATAAGAAGTTAAATGTGTCGCACCTTCGGTCAGCATGATCGATGAAAGGATAGCCATTTTTATTTTACTTCGATAATCTCTTTACAAGTTATTTTTTGTTGGCGTATCTCAAATCATGTGGTTATAATGGAACATAAACAGTTCGTTAGAACCGCATTGCAGCAAACTGTCCATTGAGACTTAAGAAACACTTAAAATGAAAAGAAAGCGGCTATTCGGAATCTATTACGATGAAGAGCAACGGTATTAGTTTGGTAAAATGGAGAGAAAAATGTTGTTATTCAAAAACAGTTATTCAAAACAGCACAGAGGCAAAATAAATGTACCGCGCCCTTTTGCGATCACAGAATATAACAAATATATGTGTGATGTTTACAGATTTGACTAAAATTTGGTACAATACCGTATTGCTTACAGAGAAAAGAAATGGTGGTCCAGCATATTTACCTGGTTGATAGATGCTTGTTTTCAAAATCCTTGGCAGCTTCATCGAAAAGCGGCAACAAGTATGTCACAACTCGAATTTCGATGACAGCTGGTTACATACTATTGCAAACATTATGGTACAAAATCCAAATCATCTGGTCGGTTACCTACTAACAGATATTCCTAGCAAACGGGTCGAGTTCAACACACTCTCTATTACGAATAGATAGGACACTACGTCGTGCCGTTCAATCGTAAACATTGTGCTCGTGATTATTGCAAAGTTAGCGGACGAACAGCATGTGCAAAATGCTACGTTGGACTTTGTGTCAAATATTTTTTGAGCTATCATACAAAACCATGAACAATTTTGACTCCTAAAACAGTTCATTTTCATTTAATTTCAATAATTTTCTACTTTCCTGCAGATTTTCTTAATAAAAATTCATTATTTCTTCATAAAATAGTGTTTCCTTCTCAGAAAACAAAAAAAAATGTTTCCTTTTATACAAAACACGATTAGGCGACCCATAAAGCAACGCAGGTTTTTGACATTTTCCGAAAAAATGTCAACACGAATCAAAAGATTGTTCTTATATTCTTGCTTAGGAAGTCAAAATACACTAATATACGTCTTATTAATAAAATGTGCGACAAAAATTATTGGACATAAACGGGTTAAGGACATTTTCTTTAACTATGTTTTGAAACTGCTATTAAAAATGAATAGATGCCAAGCGAGTGGTCGGAAAACGTAAAGAAGCGTTTTTTTGAATTATGGAAGAAAGACTTACATCAAAGAAGATTTTATATAGAACCGACACTTAAATGAGCACAACACAAAATAACAAACACAGTCTTAGAAATTGCACTAATACCATATCAAAATGTACGATTATTTCCAGCTTGAGCAAGTTGAGGTCCTTATTCGCTCCGAATACGGACCTTAACTTGCTCCGAATACGAACCTTAACTTAGAATAGAATAGAAATAAGCGGGGTACAAGCTCCCAATGGAGCAGAGCACTGCGACCAGATTGATCTTTTGTGCTACAACTGACCCTAACCGAACAGAAGACATTCCGTTTTTCGAATGAAAGCCAGAATGTCGTCCGTTGAGGACCACCTAATGTCAGAAGGAGAGAGCAGCCCTCCTCCCAGTGACCTCCTCCTTGCCCAGATCAAGGCTGGGCAGTCACAGAGAATGTGACTGGAAGTCTCGTCTGCTTCCAAGCAGAGTCGACAATCCGTCTCCTCGGATTAAAAGAACCCGTTAAATATTCCGCCAGCAATCTCAAGTCTGATCTGCTAAGGAGGGATGCCTTGCCATAACTATATGGGTGAACCAGCTCTTTAGCCTGACGGTTACCTCGATTGTCGCGCCAGTAGCGATCTCTCTCGGCTAAGAACCATTTATCAATTAGATACCTAGTTGTAGACCAACTTAATCCACAATAGGGTTCCGGTTCACAGATTTGAGTGGCAGAACCTGCCCTTCCAAGACTGTCGGCAGATTCATTACCCTTTACTCCTGTGTGACCAGGCACCCAGCAAAGCGTCACTTTGTTTTTGTTTGCTAGCTGCTGCAGCACATCGAAGCAGTCTAGTAAAAGCTTTGAGAAAAACCTCCAAGAGGATAGAGCTTTGACTGCTGCTTGACTATCTGAGTAAATACAGATGCGGGCGCCTTTCAACCCGTTGTTTAAGTTGATACGAGCGCTGACCTCGATGGTGTGAACCTCCGCTTGGAAGACAGTGGGCCATATACCCAGCGCTATCGAGATTCTGGTGTTAGGACCAAATATTCCAGCACCAACTCCTTCTTTGGTTTTTGAACCATCGGTGAACCATGAAATCACTTCTGGTTCTGCTCCAGGAGTGCCATTTTCCCAATCCAATCGATCGGGAATGAGGACTTCGAACTTTCTACCGAAGCGAAGTTCCATGTTCATGCGATCCGTCCTATCGCAGATCTCTATGCGATCTCTATGGTCTATGCTAGTCTGCAGATAGAGTTTTGACTGTCAAGACTTCCGTGCATATTGATATCAGGGTGTAGCCTAGCTCCACTCAAGGCCGCTGTCTTTTTAATGAAGAGGTGCAGAGGGGTAAAACCCACTATGGACTCCAGTGCTGACGTGGGACATGTTCTAAT